TTTTAAAACAGGAAAAAGCCATTATATCGCTAAATTAAACTAAATCTAAATCTGTACCCTTAAGGGACCAAGATCAAAATCTTTACATTTTTTAATTTAATTTAACTGTACGTGTTTACTTTAATTTTCTATGTCGTATCTTTCCTTCTCACTTATCAAATTGTAATTACAGTGAGGATTTTAATATTGAAGGAAATATGTAACAGAAACAAACACACTGACGTGGAAAGGGTCTGTTACTGTTCACACAAAACTTAACTCGACTGTTCAAGTTACAGCTATGAGATGGATCGGTGTAATAATTATAGGCTCTTCATTTTTGGCGGAATCTGAACACAGCAAAGCCAAAACAAAACTATGAACCTAAAGACTATAAAAATTATGTCATTAACGGATGTCTTTGACGCCATTTTAATTTGTGAGTTGAACCCTTCAGTACTGTTCAAACTAAAACGGCCAAGTTCATATGTTAAAAAAGGAACTGACTGAGCACCATCTACTCATAAAAGAGTTTTTTTTTTGAAAAGAAGCATAACTTCCCCAGCAAAATGATCATCGTTACGGTCTGTTCGAATCGTGTCTTATTTCTATGTATTTATCTATTAAAAAGTCATTTTGAAATGCTAGATATTGGAGACCTTTCTATGCCCCTTTAAAATTTGTTTCGCATAATCTGGTAATCATTCTGTGATTTCAGAAACTAGTATTAATAATTCTAATAACAACTGACTGTTGGTCTTCTTCTCTATGCGCAAGTCCCCCCCCCCCCAAAAAAAAATGAAAGGAAAAAATATTTTATGAATAGATTTTCGGTTTTTTTTTTTTATCACATCTAGGTGTTAAATTTAAGACTAGGAAATGACAATTCATACCGTTTTCCCGAAGGTTGCTTGCCCCGAGCACAAAGGCCTTTAACAACAACAGCTCTTAAGAAGATGAAAAACTAAAACTTGCTATTATTTTTGGCCTGGCTAACATTCTTCCTCTCTGATAAATCATCGCTTGCATCTATCAGTGACGTTTTTAATATTGAAAGAAATAATATGTTGTTGCGACAGGAAATCGCTTTAAGCGTATTTACATTTTTTCATTATTATGGAACATATGGGTTTCACTACACTAGTGAGCTCGCCACAATGAAACGAGATCAAGGCCTAGGGAAAAAAATTCATATAGATTACTTTTTTGTTACCCAAAGCCCCTAGTTACTAACTTGGTTGACAGCAATGCGCGAAACTGAGGCCTATGAGCCATGTCGAGTTTACCGAGATATAGCCAAATCTGTGAGAGCGATCAAGGAAGTGCCTTTGTTTTGATAAATGTGGAACTCAAATAATTTCTTTAAGACAATTTTAATTGGCTGGCCAATGTAAATTACTAGTAATTGAATTTAAAAGTTTTTCGAAAAACACTGAAAAATAATTATCGTTACAAGAAGACACCAAATTACCGTAAAATTCCGAAAATAAGCTCCGGGGCTTATATTTTTCAAAGGCCCTTTTTGAGGGGCTTATTTCTGGAGGGGCTTGTATTCGGAGGGGCTTATCTACGGAGGGAAATTTGCGTTTCAAAAGCCTTATAGCTGGAAGTAGATTTAACGTTTTGGCTTTGTTTTACTTTATGTTTGAGGCCAATTTTCCAAGTATAAGCCCCCGGGGGCTTATATTTGGAAAATGGAGGTTTTTTTGCGTTGCCGGTTTGGGGGGCTTATATTTGGAGGGGCTTATACATGGAGGGGGTTATTGTCGGAATTTTACGGTATCTCTGTGGGGATATAGTCACGTGGTTCATATTGGTGGTTTGCACATGACGTCACGATGGCCATGTTGGTGATCAAGAACTAATAAAACTATTCCTTTCCGCTGGGAACTAAACCTTATTTTGTGGGAAGTTTCGGGAAAAAAAAGTCTGGATTGACCAGCAACATCACCGCCTTGTCACGTGCTTGTAAAACTAAGAATTTGGTTTAGATCCTGCAAAATTTCTGATAAAGACAGAGGAGTTTCGCTCAAGTGAGTTGACACTCTTGTCTACATGTGCTTGTCACAGATTTGGTAAAGTTCGGCCATTTTAGGGACTGATTTCGGAAGAAAAACATGAGTATAAAATGACCCGATGGCAGATGCGGTATTCAATTTTTTTAACAGTCTTAATTTCTCTCGGAGTTTCACAACTTGCAGATTTTTTTGCTTCATAGGAATCGTGTTATACACAGATCATTTTTTCCATCCTGATTTCCTCGATTTCTACGTGTTTTAAGTAAAATTGAATACATCTCAAAAATTCAAAATGGTGGATCCAAGATGGCGGACGGTTCCAGATCTTTCTTTAGCAATAAATGACGTCATCATGACTGTTAGTGTTAAAGATCATTAATATGTTAATCAACTTCACGATTTTTTCAGGCACCTAACTACTTAAGATTTTTTAGCTTTGAAGGGAAAATTGATGCAATTTGGATTCTGCCCATAACTCCGTGATTGTCAGGATCAAAACATGGTTAGGAATTGTGTAGCGCTGATAAGTTGATTACAATTAAAATTTGTCTTTGTGTTCTTAGCGCTAAAATGTTTGAAAATCTAGACGTTTCGGGACTACTGTCCCTTCAGCAGTGGAAGATACCCACTGATGATGCCCTTCATCAGTGGCATCTTCCACTGATGAAGGGACAGTAGTCCCGAAACGTCTGGATTTTCAAACATTTTAGCGCTAAGAACACAAAGACAAATTTTAATTGTAATCACACCATGATTGTGTCAATTAAATTATGCTTAGATGTTAAAAAAAGTACATTATTTTGTGCAATTTTGGTGACCGTACCATGAGCGGTTTTGAAGTTACTGAGGGGGACCTCTTAGGCTCACCCCCGGTCGCAGCAAGGAAAAAAAAAGCACGGTCTGAATAGGGTTAGGGTGAATGATTAACTGCCGAAAGTAGAGTGTATTTTGGGTAGACACAACGATAAAAGTGGTGCATCCGAAAAACTTTATCAATACCATAAGTATTACAGATAATATTTTAGAATTAAACATCTAAAGACTAGTGGGGTCTCACGCTTATTTATCTTTAGTGTTTATATT